AAACTGAGTTCACGATGTGCAGGAATAATATTCGCCGGTTACTCACGGAATTTCACCATAAAAACCGATTTATATGAATCGAGAAGCGATTTTTTAAGGAGAAATGACTCAAGCTGGTGTTGGTTTGAATCAAGTAGGAGAATCGACTTGAATCAAGTCGAACCCGACGGTTTGCGTATCTCAGAGTGAGACAGGATTGATACCATCGATCTGATATCAAATAAATCGACTCCTGGTATCAATTAGTTCGACTTGATTCAGAGTGATCCTTTTTACTTGATTCAGGACGACTTTCGTGGGTGTAGGGCTGCTACAGGAGGCGTTATCAATATCGCGGGGATATTTGTTTAGAGTTACTTGGAATTTGGCGATATGGGTGGAGGCTGCATTATGACAGATAGACAAGTCATAGGTTATCACCAGCCTGACTACTTCCTTATCCCATTTGAGTTGAGCTTGTGGCGACAGGAAATTATTTCTGTACAGCCACCGATTTATGAAAAGTCACAAAACAAATTGCCAATCGAGTGACCGGTAATGAACCCGTTTTGTCTCAATAAATTATTAATAATTGCTAATGAAAACGCCATTAAACCGATAGCAATCGTCAGTGTCTGATCACACCTAGACATTTCTACTTTCCTCAGTGAAAATGCCAAAAGTAAAACTCGCGAGAAATTAATGGAACGTAAAGCCGCGGATTGAAAGTAAATGCGGAAGTGTCTCACTGTTTCAATGGTAACGAAGAGTAGAAAAAAATATATGATCTAGATGGATTTAGTGGGGTGTGAAGGGAGGGAAATGGCGAAAATGCTGAGGGAAAAATTTAAGTGGGACAGGGGACTGAAGGGTAGAGTGGGAATTCAGGGACTTAGATCGGGAGATGGGACTTAACAGCGTGGGAGAACGACTTTCACCCATTCGTGGGGATATCGTACTCGGGCTCTTGTGAATTGTTGATTGATGGTGTGAGAGATATTCTCATCCATGGGAAGTGCAATAACACGTATTACTGAAAACAAAAGTATCGTGATGACACGGGACAACTACTTGTATTATAAAATAAAAAGTTGCTTTTCAAATACGATATGTCGTATAACAAAACTGAAAATTCACATTCTTTTCTATTTTTTGTCTTTGCAGAAAAAAATCACAAGAACTTTATGAATTTTTTAAATTATTCCATTTTTAACATAGAGAAAATCAAAATTCATCTAAAAAAATGGCATAATCTTTTTTGAACTCGAAATTATTGAATGGTTTAGTTTTATTTATTTAATTGATTAATTAATTAATTAATTATAATTGAACTGTAATTGATAAATTAATACCGACGCGCGAAGAATTCGGGGAAATCTGGGGAATAGATGAGAAATCCTGGAGATAAAATGGACGATAAATAAAATTGGTGAAAAAAAAAATATGGAGAAAGAGAGGAATGAGTGAAAATGAAAATGTATGGACATTGGTTTAACGTGTGCTGGTGATGGTTTTAGCTTGTTGGTTCTCGCATGCATGCATTGGTTACGCAAGAATGGCGGCGTGTGTGAGACTGGTGACCCACATAACACCAGGGAGCAAGGACCCCAACCAACTGCACAAACATATATATATAAGTACATATATATATTGCCCCGGCATTTGCCTGACATGCGCTTATCCCGCTCGTACGAATAACACCGAGAACACCCGATCCACTGCCGACGAGATCGCGCTCTCGCCCACGTGATCACTTTTAAAAAAAGTATACTTGAATGTAGGATACATTATGTACTTGACTTTAAATAGACGATTTACGGGTAAATAGAATTTTAACGGGTTACGTTGAACAGACGAATTCCAGAATGAATTCCTTTTGAGGAATTCATTGATTTATTTTTATTTTTACGAGTTCATTTGTTGAAGGGAATTTTTATAATTAATTTTTGGGAATGTTTTGATTTTTTTAATGATTGGATTGAGTCGGAGCAATGGAATTGATTGGATACGATATTTTTCTGGAGATTAATTTGTTTTTATTTTTAATGGGAATGGTTTCGTTTGGAGAATTATTTGAGGAATTACTTATGGTGATAGGGAATTTATCGGAATTCTGGAATATTCTGGATTTTTCTGGAAAGCTCGAGAAAATTCTAGATTTTTCCTATAACATTTTAAACATTTTATTCTTAACAGTTCGGAATATCGTAAAAATTGTGTTTTTATTGTTTAAAAATCTGGGATAATTATTAGCCTTTTGCATTCTTAAATTTTTCATAGAATTATCGAGTTTTACAAACATCGAACATTGTTTTCCATAAAACCCCTCATTATTAAGTTAACAACGAAACCAGCAACTGATAATTTCGTTTTTTTCGAAGCGGTAATAGCTATGCAGAAAATTGTTAATTGTTCAATTATCTCAGTAACGGCTCAGTTTAGAAGAGAAAGTGACAAGAACTTTTTTGCTGAGAAATAGATTCCGAGTTGAAAAAGTCGTATGAAATTTTCTGCTAAACCGACTCATTACTGAGATAACGACCCGATTATCAGCTGCGACCTTTTACAAGATTTTTTATTTAGGTTTTTGAATTAAAATTCGTTTATTTATTATAGTATTAGAACATCTGGGGTAAAATATGTCGAGCCGGAAGTAGCCCGTGTTCTCTTTATAGAGACGAGTTTCATCATCGTAGAATGATGTTTCCCTCGAAAAATTTCTAGGGGAATTTTATAAATAGATGAGTTGAAAGAGGTTAAATAGAGTTATACGATGCAATTGTGCACTTTCACAGTGGCACATAATTTTGCAGGGCAGATTCATGATTCAGTCAGCATAAATATGAATGGAGGTGAATATATTGGACTTGGATATGAAAAGCGCGGAGAAAAAAATCAGTGGAAATAAAAATGCAATTACTTCAATGGAGAAATAATTACGGACTGTTCTAATTGTGCTGGGTGATTAGAGTTTGGAAATTGATGATTCCAATGAATTTTTGTTACAGGAATTATGACCCTTACGAGCAGCCCGTGTGAGCTAGACAACATGAGCTTGTTTCAAGACTTCAAGTTGAAAAGGAGAAAGGTCGACTCTCGATGTAGTAGCGACGGTAAGGATCATCATTAATTACCGCTAATTACCGAACACAACATCTGAAACAATTTACTGTCTTCCCACGTGATTCTTCCTGATTCCCATCAATTTTCACTGAATAATTACCCAAAAATTGCAATTCCCTGACTCCTGATCAACTATAATATTGAAACTACTGATTCTATCGGAAATTACCAAAAGATCTTTTTTATAGAAAATTAAATTCTCCCCAAAAAAGTCCCTGGAAGTTTTCGCCTCAAACCAGCCATCTCCGAGTTAACCGACAATTCCTAAAAATATTAGAATATTATCTCATGATTAATTGCTTCTTAATTAAACATTTCCCAGAATTTAATGGAATTTCATTCCAGTATCAAATTTCCACCGAGTCCCTTGACGACTGAAGCATCACATCGAAAAGCCAGAACGCGAAATTGACCTTTAGCTTTACAATGGGCGCCAGAGTCAAGTGGATTGAGTCCCCCGGTATTCCCCTTTTTCATTCGTTGATATTCGAACAATTGCGACTAAATGGGGGGGGGGGGAGATGGTTGTTGGAGGGTTAATGGAGACACGAGGTACGGCGTGGGTTTTAACCCAGGAGGGGAATCCATCTGCCCACGCGCTACCCGGTTGTAGCTCCAGCTTCGGCATCTACAGGGTAGTTTGACAACGTCGTGAGTCGCGTTGAGACGTCATTCATTCAAAAACTAATTATAAATCCTCAACGTTCAAACCAAGAATACATCACTCATTCCTCGTCCCATCGACCTCTCACAGTGGAAAAACACCAAAAAAATCTCAACCTCAAAAATCGATTTTCAGAAATAATCTTCATCATCAATTAAATAATAATAATAATCAGTGGTACATTTTGGCGTCAGATTTAAAATGAAGATGAGAAAAATAGAAAACGGTTTCATCAATAAATTTTGTTTCCCCGAGAAATAGTGGTAGATGTGAAAAATAATAGAAAATCGTCGGAATATCGTCTAGAGATTGGAATGCCCTTTGCATCGCACTGAAATCATTGATCTCCCGGGTTGGGGTACCACGTGAACATTCAACAATCCGTCAACAGACCCCCAACGCGCAGCTGCACCCTTGCACTTCGTCCCATTCACATTTCTATTAATCCGAGATTAAAAATTGAAAGGATAAAAAAGAAATTCGTCAAGTGGGGGGAAAAAAAAACCGTTATAAATCATGAATTTCAATGACCTGCTGTGTGACCCGTATGCCTACCCTTATCAACGTTACCTCGAGCCACTGACAATGGCCTATGAGAATTATTACACATTAAATCCCTATTTGCGAATGGACTGTCCAGTGAATTCATTCATGTGGTGGGGGGGCGGCCGCTGGCCAAGAAAGTTCATCAATTCATTTAACGGTAAACAATAAATAATTGACTAAACAAAATCCAATGAGATAACGATAAGCCCTTTTCACTCCAACAGTAACTCGAATGGAAATAAATGACGCGCCATTCACGAAATTTCCGGTTCAAATCACTCGTCGACATCCCATTTTGCCCCAATAATTATGCCAAAAAAAGATAAATTACGAAAAATAAAGAATAGGGAGGCAAAACGGATGGATGACCGGCGAGTGAGACCGGGGATTCCCGCAAGTGATGCCCCTCAAAAAATGAAAAATAAAAAGATCACCCATCAGACCAATCAGAGACTGTCAAAATCAGAATCAGAGAAAAACCCTATAAATTGCTTCCCAGACTCGCCGGTATCATTCGGATCAGCAGGCTCACCATCAGGGATCCAGGCATCGGACGCCCCCTCACCCATAACATTTCCTGCTTCAGGGGATAGCATAGCAGACACATCAACATCACCAGATGTACCAACGATGCCGGGTTCATCGGGCTGTACAGTGGTGAAAGTGAAGAGTGAATTCTTACGAGGTAGTCCAAGTCCAGTTGGCCAACAGCTGGTACATCATCCTCAAGAGAGTAGAGAGACAGCATCACCAGACTCAGTGTTTCCAGAGCCATCGCAGCGTGACATGATGTCAACGAGAATTAGCGACGAGAGTAGATCATTCACACCAGCACCAACGAGTCCCGAGCACTCGACAGTATCAACAACACCAGCCAATGATCAATCTAGAAGCAGATGTGGCAGCCCAGAGAGATCAGATATGTCATCTTGTCAGGCTAAACTCGAGCCAGATAATTCGGTATTTGATGGCGGTGGTGGTGATGACAGACGCGATATAACAAGTCAGCCAAGTCCATCATCACAGTACAACATCAATCAGGCACACAGTCCCAGCAGCAATTCATCTCACAGTAGTAATCAACAACCACCAACACCACCCAGATCCAGAGCACCATCAGTACCTGCTCATCTACTTGCCCATCATCAGTTCTGGACGAATTCCCAGGGTTTTGCTGCCCAGAGATTACTCAATGGTGTTATTAGCAGTGCCGTTGGGTATGGACAGAGTATGACTGGTAATGGGGGTAATGGTAGCAATGGAAGCAATCAGGGGAATGGTGGTAGTGCATCAAGTGGGAGTACAGCGTCAGCATCGCCATCAAGTGAGTATCATATTATTCCTATCGAACCGAGTTCACCAACGATAAGAAAACCCCAACCGCGATGATTGCTTAACTTCAATTCAATTTTCTAGGTGAAGGAATGAAACCTCCAGCCCAACGAGCGGCGCCATCAGCCCCTAGACCACCACCTACAGTGATAATGGGTGAGGTGGGTGGTGTGAGAACAATGATATGGTCAGCACCAGCGATGGAGCCAGTTCCACCACCTGCTGCATCGTGGACGACAACGGCATCATCAGCCTCGTGCTCCTCTTCCGAGGAATCAGCAGCCCAATTGCTGTTGAATCTTGGACAGGAGTCGAGGGGAAAGCCACCGTGTGTCTCCTATGCATCAGGTCCACCTCTGAATATGGAAAGATTATGGGCTGGTGATCTGAGTCAATTGCCTGCAGCGCAACAGATGCAAGCATTGAATCTCACAGCATCAGGATCAAGTCCGAATCAACCATGGGTGAGAAATGGTGGTGGTGTCAAGTCTGAGGCTTCCTCGCAGTCACTGCAGTCAATAGCACCAGCTGCACCTTCCATACCACCTCAGGAGCATGAGGAGGACGAGACACCTATGATCTGCATGATCTGCGAGGACAAGGCCACGGGACTTCACTACGGAATTATAACGTGTGAAGGGTGAGTATTCACGTATTTGATGAAACAAAGTGTCAAGACCTCAGATGATTTTTCACTCGTAGGTGCAAGGGCTTCTTCAAAAGGACTGTACAGAATCGTAGGGTGTACACGTGTGTAGCAGATGGTGTTTGTGAGATAACAAAGGCGCAGAGAAATAGGTGTCAGTATTGCCGATTTAAAAAGTGTATAGAACAGGGTATGGTGCTTCAGGCTGTACGTGAGGATCGTATGCCCGGTGGCAGGAACTCCGGAGCTGTTTACAACCTCTACAAGGTAAATCCATAATTTTTCAATGTTTCTTCTCAAATTGACCGGGCGATCTGATGACAATATTATCAATCAGGTAAAATACAAGAAGCACAAAAAGGCAAATAAGACGAATGTGGGAGGTGGCGGTAATACTGGGGGTGGTGTCAATGGTTCTGGACAACTTGGTGGTAACAAGGGTGCTGCTGTGGCAACAACAATGCTGGACAAACACATGGCAGCGGCTGCAGCAGCAGCTGCTGCTGCTCATCACAATCAGCAGCAGCACACGCAGATGGCGGGTTCCTTTCTCCATCATCACAAGATCTCAGCGGATCCTCACAATACCCAGCCCACCCCCAGTCATCCAAATCATCCCTCTCACACTGGACACCTCGTCAATGGAACGATACTCAAGACAGCACTCACGAATCCGTCAGAGGTGAGTGGCCACCAAATGAATAATTCTATCATAACCAACAATTGCTCCACTGAATGTACATTGAGAGACACGCGTTTGTGCCATCCGTAAAATTGCAACTTCTCCTATTATATTTGTTCTTTGAATTTTCTTATCCACAACCTGCGCTGCATTACGCAATCACGTCAAGGTTTCCCATATTACGAAAGACGATAGACGAAACGCCTGAGACTTGTTTTCAGCCCGTTTGTTTCATTTTTTTTTCACAATGCAGTTGGTGTAAATCATCGACATCGAAATTCCAAAATAAACGAAAGTGAATGACGACGAGAGAGAGGAGAGAATGAAATATTTGAAAAGTCACTCTCTTCGTGCGCTCATGTCCTCACGTAGAGGCCATTGCCAAAAGTGAAACTTGGTTTTTTAAAAGAGGTCAACTTTCCATTGTGTCATCAACTTCCCTCTTCTTTCATTCCACAATAAACAAAGTCATTTCATTGAACGACTCAAGGATTTTAATCGATGAGTCATGCTGTTTTGGTATCATCATTTCTCAATAGCGTTTTCTAGAGCATTTCGGTCTATTATCTGGATTAGAAAGAAGAATTCATGCTGAATAGAAATGAGAATGAAACAACAAACGTACGATTAAAAAATACTAAAGGAGTCAACAATTGCCTGAAAACCTAGAGACAGTCCCCAATCATCAATTCTCATCGACAACACACGTCATCTGACCTGAATCAGAACCTTCATTCAATGACTCCCAGCTAAAAGCCCATGACAAGAAAAAAAATCCATTGAAACTCCATTACAATAGTAGTATAAAATCAACCCAGTGATCTCAAACAGCCCATAAATTCCAGTGATTCAAAGCAATGAAAGATCATCGAGCATAATTACAAAGAAATGAGACTCTAGACGTGGACACAAGCAACATGTGACTGAACACACCATGCAAGAATCATAGAGATTGTAAATGAGGATAAAACAACATAAATGAAAGTAACCAAGCATAAATCAAGCTGATGAACTCAGTCATCACCTCAGAAACACTAAACCAATCCCTAATCACCTAAAACCCGACTAGACGGAGACTTCCAGCTTCTCCATTATCACCTTGCGGATGCATTTGAGATGGAAAAATAATGAGCTGTGGATGCTGTGGCCTCATGAAACACTCCAGGGACAATAGAAAATCCAGCGTCAACCGGTGCCAAGGACGGGCAGTTGCTGTAGTTCTTTCGTAACGTCGTGAAAGTCTACAACAAGGGACACTGACCTCCTCCACCACCACCCCTATAACTGTCTCAGTCACTCCACCAGTGATTCGTGAATGTGCTCACTCGTGACTAGTGAATACCATTTTTTTTTTCTCCCTCCTGGCTCAGTACATCTAAAAGCGAGTGAGTCCCTCCAAGCTTTCCCTGAATTATCTCTCTCTGATTCGTTGATCTGTCTCTTTTGATCGCCAAACAAGTCCCACACGTTCATTGCCTGACCTCGAGGCACCAGAAAACTTTAAAAGGTCAGTGAAAGGCCTCGGATTGGATTCGACGTAGGAAGTAGTTGGAATGATCATTTTTTTCTCATTTTCCTCCACTGTTTTTTGTTGATCGTGGTGGGGATGAAAAAATTGGTAGTTTATCTATCCAATTTTCTCTTTCTCCCCTTTTCATCTGGTTAGAATGCTCGAGGTTTAGTCGTTGTGAAATATTGAGACTGCTGGTCTTGTGGCTAGTTACTTTCTCCTGTCCCTTTTTTTCCGGGATGTTTTGTCTAGCTCGTGGCAGGGATTTACTGACGACTTTTTACTGGATACCCTGGGGAGTGAAGTGTTGCAGAAAATTGCATCTCCTTTTTTTTAATTCAGGTGTAATTCTTCCAAAAATCCTGTCAATTTTTTTTTCACAGCACCAGTCGTTGGAGAGATGATTTAGAAATTGTTGATTTCTTCATTCGGATTTCTCCAAAATTCCTATTCTTCATGAACCAATCGCTGATTTCGAAATAACTTCACATTTTATTAAACTCTCAGAACGATCAGAGAATTAAAAATAAAAACATGTTTTTTCACCGTGGCCCCGGGGCCAGAAACCGTAACGAAATTTCAAATAAAGTAAGATCTTCATTTTTTTAGGTGGTACACTTACGACAAAGACTCGATAATGCTGTCAGCAGCTCGAGAGATCGGGCATTTCCTCTCGAGGCGACTCTAGCAATGATTCAGACACTTATAGACTGCGATGAGTTCCAGGATATTGCTACATTACGAGTGAGTAAATCATCTCAACAATTAAAATTCAGCATTAAAAATTTTCCGTATGAAAATCGTCTGTATGAAATCAGACTCGAATGATTCATAACAAAATTCAAAACGAAATCATTGCTGATTGAAAATAAATTGAGATGACTTATTTCTTTGTTTCAGAATTTGGATGAATTACTGGACCATAAATCAGACTTAAGCGACAAATTATGTCAAATAGGCGACAGTATAGTACACAAGTTGGTGCAGTGGACCAAGAGGCTACCTTTCTACCTTGAATTACCGGTTGAGGTACACACGAGGCTGCTAACACATAAATGGCACGAACTACTTGTCCTTACCACCTCTGCCTATCAGGCTATGCACAGCCAGCACAAGTTCACTAATTCGTCGGACGGTACTGGTGCTGACTTTATGCAAGAGGTAATTATCCCCCGTAATTAATCCCTAATTTTAACATCTCAACGAGATTCTCGAGGAAATATCTCTGAATCCACGAGACATACCGAAATATTCCTCAGGAGTTCTTTTGCAGAGTACAACCAGAGCTGCAGAAAAGTTTATAATTAAAATTTCGGTATCTCTTGTAGATCGAGAGATATTCAGGGGTGAAGGGAGCAATTCGAAGTTTTAAGGCTCGTTATTTATGAGTTGATTAATCATCCATCAATGGAATTATTTAAGATGAATTTTTTATGGATTCAGTGTTGATGGAGATGTTGGTAATTGTTTTTAGTCTGGAGTTATGTAATTCCAGTTGCATTAAATTTCACTGATTCAAAGTGAAAGTGGAAAGAGTTGGCTAGTTTGAGTTATTCAATTTATGTACTTTGATCATCTAGGTAGCAAACAACATGTGCACACTGCAGGCTTGTCTAACGAGTATGATGGGCAGGCCCCTTACCATGGAGCAATTGAGACAGGACGTTGGACCCATGGTTGAGAAAATAACTTATGTCACACTCATGTTTAGGAGAGTTAAACTCAGAATGGAGGAGTACGTCTGTCTCAAAGTCATTACTATGCTTTCGCAAGGTGAGTTTACTCCACTGAATTATTTATTAATGTCTAGTTACTTGAAAATTCTGCTATTTCTCATTTGCAAATTGTGATGATTAATTTAAAATAATTAAGTGCTTATTGAAAAATTAATAGACTGTGAAATGTTCAGCAGAAATTTTTTTTCGGGTCTACTTGTTTTGAATTTTATAATTAAATGATAGACTTAGATATCCGGAATTGTCTGATTTGAATTCGTAAAATATAATTATGAACAATTGAATTTTTTTCTGCTTCAATTGGAGATGCTAAATGTAAGTCACCGTTTGAAAAACCTCCAGTTTAAAAATATTGAAAACTATCGCGAAAAAATGAATGCGGTTATGCAATAAATCGGAAATAAAACTCCATCAATTCTTTTTTCTAGCACGAGGGGGTACTATGGAGTTAGAACAAATACAGGATCGTTACATGAGTTGTTTACGAAGTTTTGTGGAACACAGTGCGCCCCAACAACCAGGACGATTCCACGATTTACTGCTGAGATTGCCCGAAGTGAGTCCATTAAAACTCGACAAAATCAAAAGTTGAATGAATTTTTTCTCCCTCAATCGTTCCCCAATAAAATTCGTTCTAATTCTAAATTAATATGAGAATATATTAATATGAGAATATATCAATTTTGTAAATGATCTAGATAAGAGAGATTTTTCTCGTTGGAAAATCTCAAAAATCATCAGCTAAAACCAATAAATTTCAACTTTCAGGTGCAATCAGCAGCGACTCTACTCCTCGAGAGCAAAATGTTCTACGTTCCTTTTCTCCTGAACTCAGCAATTCAAAGATAGTAACTAAAATCCCCCTCGAATTAAATCGACGATAAAAAAAATAATAATAAATGAAAAAATGGGGGAACCCCTCGATAACTGCCCCTGGGTATCAGGCAAAGACTTTCATGTATATATATACATATATAATAAACAATATAAATGTGTTTTTCGTTGAGGTGTACAAAACTAAAAAAAGAAACACAAAAAATTATTGAGAATGTGAAGAAAAAAATAATTATTATTATAACTAAAAGTAACTACGATGGATAAGATGAATGAGGAGATAAAGTACTAGGTAATTTTTCATTGGTACAATGAAAAATGAATATAAACAAAATGCTAGGGAAATTAATGAGAAGAAAATTAATTAATGAAAAGTTGAAGAAAATACAATCGACAAGAACTGAAAACTTTTATATCGAAACTAAAAGACTATATTTCTGTACGCAGTCGCGCAACTAATGTCATTGTGTGTTCATGTTGCATAATCCAATCGATTTAAATTAAGACTCTCGTACATTTTTTGTGCCCTGATATTGAAATTTATTGAGAATTATTGACAATTTGGGAATGAGATGTTTCATTCTGTGTTAAAGTGATTAACCAGAATTCCGTGATATATCTCGAGAAGGAGTGGACTTAGAAGAAAATTTCATGAGACATTTTATGTGGGGAATTTCATTTTCTGCAAATTACTTTTCATGGAATTTTCTCGTAAATCCACTCATTACCGAGATATTCGGTAAATTAGTAATTGGAGTTTTCATCCCATTTGATTAAAAATCGTTTGTTTTATTTTTATTAATTGTTTAATTACGTCGATAACGAGTGGTTTTAGAGGAAAATGTGAGAAGAATTTTTTGTTGAATGTTTAATTGTCTATAGAAGTTGTCTCTAACATTTTCGTCTAAAATCGCTTATTACGGAGATAACTGGGAAATATCTTGAGTGAAAATTCCAGTGCTGACGTTTCATCACTTCAATGCAGAATAGACGAGTTAACTTAATTGATTAAATAATTAATTGAATGAAGAAACCGACGTGGAAATATATGAAGTACTAACATTGGTTTGAGTAATTAGTGATTGACGATATTTAGGGCCTTGTTGCATTTTTTAATTAGTTATCTATGAATGATTTTGTCATCTGACTTATCAAGTTACAAAATTAATAGATATCTTCAGAGATTCATTAAAATATTTAAATTATAATTATTGAAAGCCACTTTTACTGCAAAATTCTTCCAGTTTTATAGATTTTTTTCACTCAATTATGGAATATTTTCAATATTTCGAGCATTTTTGAATTGCGTTTTCACCCGAAAATTTCCTCGATGCATTACAGAAATTCTGTCCTGAATTGGCAAGTCGTATCTCCATTCCACGATTAATTAATAAAAATCCTCTGTTTTTGTTGAGATTGGAACATTTATTAATTGTTTAATTACGAAAAAGATAAGACAATTCGAGATGATAAAACAATGCCTCTTCATTACAGAATTTAGAATTCTAGAATCTAGATTTTCTTTTTCAATTTAAAAGTCATAATAAATTCGATAAAAAAAGAAGACTGCACACGTCGGTACGTGAAAGTACCCGAAATAAAATCAATTAATTTCCAAGAGTGCGCACACACTCGGCCTCCTCCGATTGGCTCAATAAATCTTAAGGTACGAGAATAAAAGAACATTTTTTAATAATAAAACAAAATTGAAAAAAATGATTTCTCAAGTTTTTTCAGCGTTTAAGAATCGCTAAAAATCCCATGAACTCATCGCAAATGAAAAACCATCCAAAATTCCCGCAGAAGAGCCCGAAAATAACCGATAAATCTCAAGATCGAGAGATAACGAAGAGATAAACCAAAAAATTTAGGAACAAGCAATCGCAAAAAACGAAAAGAAGCAATAATTTACTTTTTATCATTTTTTTACTCTTGCCTCTGTCAAAATCATGAGAAACACGAACATCTAGAATTTTCATGGCTGTGTGCCTTCCCCTCTGGACTTGATTAACGAAAAAATCTAATTAAAAATTATCAATAAATTGACAATAATTTTATTCCCATTCGACGACCAATTAGAGAATTAGACTAATTATAAATCGATACCTATCAAGATTCAAGAAAATTCAAAATTATCATTAATGAATTTATAAAAATTGTTGATTAATTCAAGAATTAAGTCGTGAAGTCATAAAATTAGAAAGATGTATTTTTTCTCTCGCAAAAGTCGATTTATCTCGACAACTAGTGATCCTACGACAAGAAGTCACTGGACGTTTTTCAAAGAGAACTAAATTCCACGTGAAAAGTTCAAATAAGGTTTTTCGCCAAGACCACTCATTACTGAGATAATTTGAACCATCTAAACCGAATTATCTCCCCTGTTCCCAGACTTCACCACTAAATGAATTATTTTGAGTTCAGAGGCGACTGACGCACGTTATCCACGAAATAAACAAGACCTTGGGCCTACTAGCCTAGGGATAAGTTGTCCATACTATAAGACTTAAACTACTGGATGGAAAACTACTTTATGCCGCTATAAAAATAATGAAACCAACAAATTGTGTACATTATTTGATAATTATTTGACAAAGGGCTACTGTATTACCAGATCATCGTCGTACCCTCGCGTGATATCTAAAAGTCAAGATATTTATCAATCATTCCACCCCAATTTACAATTATTCCAACTCCCAACCCCTCCAAAACCAAAAAATCAGTGCAAAAAATAAAAAAAAAGGCCACCTCCATCTATTCTTTTCGCAAAACCCCGGAATCTATTGCAGATACAAAAAAAATCCTCAGAACTTTTTTATAGCCCTTCAAATTCCCCAGGAAAAAGTTCCCCACGATGCCCCCCTAATTTCCCCCTGATTCCAACATATCCCCTAAAAACCGAATCGAAAAACCCCAAACTTGACGTAATTTCAATGTTTCCCCTCCAAAAATAAAAAAAATTGATAATAAATCGACTGAAAAAAAGTCGAAAGTAACTCGAGGGTCACCCACGACGCCATAAAAAATTTGTACATAATTAAAAACCCTATGTTAACCCCGCAGCTAATAATATCAATTAATTTATCGAATTTCTCTAATGATTATTCCCACTGGTTTGTCAATAATCGATTGTAAATACGTCTTTCAATCCAACTCCGATGATTAATCACTGAATGCTAACAGAATGAATTCCTAGTTTTGTTAATTAATTGATCAATTGAGATAAAAAAAAACAGTGGGCTGTCTTCACGAATGAAATGTGTAATTATAATTATAAATATGTACAAAGATGTCTGGGGAGTACAGCAGCCTTTTCGCGATAATGAGAGAAGGCTAATTATGCGTTGGATCAGCAAGACTTAGGGCATTATACTACCGAGAGTATTATCGTGCCCAACCCTTTAACAATTAAGTGAATGAGAGAGACAGAGTGATGATGCCTCTCGTTTGTGGGTTAAACCATTGTACATACTGTACAAATCGGAAAATTTAGATATTCTGTTATTAAAATTGATACTGGGAGTCCATTTGTTGAGCATACGAGTTATTAAATAAATTTTCATGGAATAAAAATACCGATTTTCACCGTTTCTTTCACGAGAAAACAATTACACGAATTATTACCTCAAGAATTATTCAATTTTTCATATATTCCATGCCCTAAATAATTGGAGTGCAATTATTTTTCCCGATTAAATGATTTATCATTCCCACGAGAGATTGTTATTTTTCTAATACTTTTCGCTGTTTAATTTATAAATTAAAATCAATACGAATGTTCTGCAAATGAACTGCTCATTGCGAATGATTGATTGATTTTTATGGGAAAGTACTAGTCTTTTTTATGCTTTCGAGGGTTCTTAAAAGATTTACGACGGATTTATGATTCGTTAGGAAGAATTAAACTGATATTTTGAGATATTATGGGACACACTGAGGACTTAATAGAGATAAATGTTGACCCAGGAACGACAGGCGGATGTATTTTTTTTCCTTGATCTTTGTGATTTAATGAAGAGAAGATATTTTTCAGATTAAACAATTAAATTAATGAAATAAACCCACTTCATTAATCGTCATCAATATAATTTGGTCAAACGAAAGTTTTTCCAGAATAATTCATTATCCAGATAATTTATTAATTAAACAAATCAATGAGGCGATCAGCTAATGGAATTCATGTTGAATTTTAGAAATATCTTCAGAGACAAATTGCTTTTATCACTAATTCTTCTTGAGGTGAATGACAATTTTTATAGAAAAATCTCTCTCCATTGAATCACAAGAATGAAAAATGTGTGAATCGAAGTTACCACTTTTATCTATGTTTATAAAATGTATTAAATCCTTAAAATTTACCTGAGAAAACGATGAATTTCCTTTTTTATAATTGATTCTTACATTGACGAATGATCAGCCGCTCTGCCAGGCGCCCAAATAATTTCGTCACCACCTGAAACCCAGAGAAAAGACATTTCGTTTTATTTTCAATTTGTTATTTAACGAATACTAGTTAAATGGAGAACGAGTAAAAGGCTGACTTCTGAGAGCTTCTTAAACTCTATATACTAATGGATATGTACGATGAAACCCGAGTGACACTAGCAAAAATCATGTAAAAAGTTTTCACTAATCGAAACCCAGTGAGCAGTATTAAGGAAAATAATGGAAGTGAATTTTTTTTTTTCGTCTTCAGACACATCTGCTTGTACGTTTGCAATGTTTCCTTTCTATCGCCTGTACATAGGGTAAAAATGAGTGAGGAAGAGATTTTTCAAGTTACCGACACTATTTCATTCGTCCCACAGTTGAGAAAAATTATTGAACTTGAAGAAAACATGTTTTTTTCCACGAACAAAGGATGTTACGAGAAAATGTTATAAACATTTATTGTAGTAATTTCAGTTCTCTACAAAAAAGGTTTTATAATTTTTTCCTCTAAGCCCATTTATTACTGAGATAATTTCACGATTACGAAAAAAAAATCCATTTCATTCACGATAATTCCATGTTTACACAAAAAGCTAATTATCTCATTAACGATTGATTTGCGGAGAAAATATCAGGAGATTTTGTTTCTTGGAGATTTGATTCTCCACGAAAAAGTCTAACGAAATTTTTCTCTGAAGCCTCTCGTTGACAAGATAATCGCATAATTCCAAAAACTGTTCAATTCACCAAATTTCTCCGACAAATTCTTCTTCAATTTCAATAATAAATTATTCAAACAATTTCCCCAGGCAGAGCGGAACAACTGAGCAATGCCGAACTGTTGCGTGAGTATGAGAGAGCGCCCCCGTATTTTTATGGAATAAATAAGAATATTTTAAATAAAGATAAAAAATCCAGAAAAACGAAAAAAAAAATACACGTAAATCTTGAAGTCTGGTTGGAGATGCCTTTAATAGGGATTATAAAATGCAGATAATATATTATACATAATGAACAAAAATACAGTATATTATTATACATTAAAAATAAGGAAGTAAATAGAATTATTATATATATGACGGAAATAATGAATAAATAAACGAAAACGATAAATACTGGCATCTCTCTCATTTCCCGTTAACGAAAAAAATGAAAACATCCATTAATATTCAATGATTTCAGTTACTGACCCCATGAATTGCCCAATCTCTGAAGAAAACATTTTTCAATCATGTGGCGTCGGTGTGGCGCCGTATGAACAATGGATTAAACCGATAATTAACTAATTTATCGCACAATTGTGGGGCTTTTCTTTGTTAATTACACTCGGGGGTGGTTTTAAATGTTAACTGATCACTTGTTGTCACTGATTTATGTTTATTTCCCGTGAAAAACACCGACGAACTTCACTGGCGTCTTTTGCACCGTCCCCCCCGCCCCGCCATCTTGAAATTCACTAATTTTTAACGCAGCAATAAAAAATAAGGCGCCAACCGGAAATACCCCCCCTCACCAATAGAATCAATTGAAAAACAATAGATCAACCTCACCCAAAAAATTGTTGCACAATCCAGTAACTGATCATTGCTAATTACGGACTGTAATTACTGGGAGAAATGGAATCAATTGTCCAATTGCTTTAATGGATTTATGTGAATCAAAGTGTGAACTAATGGGTTATTAACTAATTAATATTAAATCGGTTTAATTAATAATTTGTTTAGTCGGTTGAAAGGATACGGTGGTCAGGGAATCCGGAAGTGGGTGTCGAGATTAAATCCACGATAAAACCGGATTTTTAGGAAATGATTCCATTTTGATTGATCCGTTAAATATATGGTATTCAATTAAAATTATTAATTATTATTTGTCAGTGATTTGAAGGCAAATACACCGGGAAATCCCAGCAATCTTGTCTAGAGTCTCTTTTCCCGAACGCCAGAGGCCCCGCTTCCGCCATTTTGCGCATGCGTCAATAACTAAGCACCGTCGCAAATCCGCGGGCAGTTTTGAATTGATTTTAATAAATTGTCATTATACTTCACGGAATTGAACGCTAATTACTATTATGTCTACTTTTATTTATTTTTTAATTCGTTGAAAAAACCACTAAACAAGAAATTCTTAAAAAAAATTTGAATAGTTGCTTTGAAAAATTTTTGTAAAGACAGAAACATTGAATATGAATAAATAAAACATGTTTATTGATAAAACATGAATAAACCTGTTTTTTAATGGGCAAATTGATTTTTAAAATTTTAAAAATTGTCTCGAATGTTGTGAATTTTTCCGGTTTGAAACAGATGGCGCCAAATGTACATTCGCATAGTAGGCAAGTACCAAAATGTCAGACATCGACAAATGGATTGAGATTGCAAAAGAGTGCAAATACTTGCCAGAAAATGATCTCAAGGTAAACGAGATATTTTCCAATAAATTGAGGATTAAATTCAGTCTCTACTGTATAGAAATCTCATGGATCCCCCCAATTTTTTGGTGATTTTCATGGGCATTTCCAGGAGGTGAATTTGGTTAACTCAATTTGTTTGGTGAGAGCAGTTATTAATAACGGTTTTGACTTCTTAATTAGAAACTCTGTGACATTGTATCGGATCTACTGCTGGAGGAGTCCAATATTCAACCAGTGTCAACCCCGGTGACTGTCTGCGGGGACATTCATGGACAGGTAATTGCGAGAAAACTTAACCTCAATGACATTTTTGTTTTCACCAAGTTTTTACGCTTAATCACCACTTTCAACGCCTACTTCCGGTCTATAATTGATAATTCAGTCATCTCTAACCGCTAAAAACCTCCAAACGTTCCTCTCAACTTTCATCTACAGTTTCTATGATAAAAATAATTGTTTATCTAATTTACTGCCTTCTATTCCCCCTGGAGATTTCATGATTTTTCTATTTTTACAGTTCTACGATCTAGAAGAGTTATTTCGCAATGGAGGTCCCGTGCCTGACACAAATTACATATTTATGGGTGACTTCGTGGATCGAGGGTACTATAGCTTAGAGACATTTACACGTTTGTTAACTCTCAAGGCAAAATGGTCAGACAGGATAACACTATTGCGGGGTAATCACGAGTCGAGACAGATAACTCAAGTCTACGGATTTTACGATGAGTGTGAGATAAAATACGGCAATGCCAACCCATGGAAATATTGCTGCAGGGTGTTTGACTTACTTACAGTAGCTGCCTTAATTGATGAACAAGTTCTGTGCGTCCATGGGGGTCTATCCCCGGCGATAAGGACCCTAGACCAAATAAGAACCATCGAGAGAAATCAGGAGATACCACACAAGGGTGCATTTTGTGATTTACTCTGGTCTGATCCTGAGGACGTCGACTCTTGGTCTGTCAGTCCCAGGGGTGCTGGCTGGCTATTCGGGGCAAAAGTCACACACAAATTCATGGAGATTAATGACCTCAAACTTATATGTAGAGCTCATCAATTAGTGCATGAAGGTAAAATCATAGAAACATTCCATTTTTCATATTTTAAATTTTGTATTTATCATTTCATGATTGTCATCTTCAGAATTATGGAGTTCATGGAAATGAAGGTGATCATCTTGAATGATTTTTGATTGAAGATTTTGGGGAATTAATTTGGCGTTTTGTCTGATTTTTTAGTAGAAGTTGAGAGATTATGGGGTATTTGTTGTTGAAATAAATGGATTGATTTGTTCTGTCAACAGGATATAGATACATGTTCGATGATAAACTAGTAACCGTGTGGTCAGCCCCAAACTACTGCTACAGATGTGGTAATGTAGCTAGTATACTACAGTTTAACTCAGTCGACGACAGAACAACAGTTTTATTCCAAGCCGTACCAGACACCGAGCGTGTTATTCCATTGTCAACAATTACCCCGTATTTCTTGTGATCAGACACACTGTATCGTCTCTTTGAATGCAGAGAATGGAAGTACAACTGAATTCACGCGGGGATTTTTGGTTGGCTGCAGTCGAGTGGCAGTGCAGTTTGAGTTTTCGTTGAATACCTCGGAAGCCGTTGGAGACTGGTTTATTTTTATTGAAACTATTTTGTAGCTCTCAATTTTCTCAACAAAATACGTGGATAGAAAAATTTTTCAATCTCCAATAGATTACGAGATATTCGCCAAAAACTGATCCACCGAAAATTTCACAACTGAATGGTGAGGGAAAATAGTTGGAAATCAATTTGAAAAACACTGACGTGAAGTGAGGGAACATAAAATACCAAAAACAGGGAGAACATTGTGTTAACAATTCACTTCAATTATCACTTTTTTAAAATATTTTAGTTGCAGAGATTAAAATTGAGGGGATTATTTTATTTTTCTAAGGAATTCTTAATTAAAATTTTAAATTTTTGAGAGAAAATACAATCGTTATGAGTTCTTTGTGTAGCATTCTTTTTTCATTGATTGCGTCAGTTGTTAGTGAATTTAATTGTGAATTTTTTTTATAATCATAAAAAATTGTGAATTGTACTGGGATTTCGCGGGAGTTTTTACAAGATTTTGAATTAATCGGAGTGGAGAGGTTTGAACCAGAGTACAAGGTATGAAGATTATAATAAAACCGGTGGAACAAAGTGATAAGCACGAGATAACTTCAAAATAAGGGGATCTGGAGATATCTTTAGCAAACTGGTGGGTTTTCGCTTTAATCCCTTTTTATTCACCGAAAATCTCGACGGGAAGTGTCTCAAGGGGAAAACGCTGAAGAAACTTATTGTAGAGAATTTCCAGGGCTGCAAAAAATTTCTTATCAGTTTTTCCCCTAATCCTCACCGTTACGGAGATCATTGCGAAATTGACAACCAGAAAAAAAATGAAATTCGACTAGTTCTTGAAGGACTTGCCTAATTAATCAATTATCCCGATAATTAGGTATTTTCTCGAAAAATGTCAAGATACATTATTTGTAAGTAATTTCCTACGCTACAAAAATGTATCATGGTATTTATTCGTAAACCCACCAGTTTAGGAGATATTCGCAGGATATTGCGAACAAAATAGTTAATCTCCTCTCCTAAGCCCTAAAAATGATAAATAATCGAGACATTCCGAGGAGTAAGACTCCAAGAACATCGAAAGCTCAAACTCAATGTTCTTCTGATGATTATCGAGGGATAACAGAAAGGGTTTTGCATTTCGTTGGGTCTTCCTAGGAATCAACGTTCTAGTATTTTAGAAGTCAACGAATATTAGTTAGCAATTTTACTTCCAAAATCAATCACACAATCATTAAAAATCGTGTTCAACTGGATTATTTAGGAAGGGACTACTATGAGTTTTAAATATTCCAAATTATTCAAATTTCTCCTTCTTATACGAGCGCAAATGAATATTTTTATCTAAACATATTAGTGCAGTGAATGTTTTCTTCGAATTTATCAGCAATCAATCATGAAAAATCAATTTTGAATAATTCTGTTGAATAACTCATTAATTAAAACTCATGTTAGTCTCACCTTGATCAAGCTCTCCTGCTTATAATTGCTCAGTAATTTTTGCTCTAAGAATCATCAACTATTTATTAGTTTTATTTTTTTATCAATCTGTCACTCCTCTCTGCACCCACTTTAGATTATTCTCCTTGATAATAGATTTTATGGCGATAAGTTGTGAATTTTAATGTGAAGATGAATTTTTTCACTCCTGAAAGTGGACGGAAATTAAAATTAGGGGAATTATTCCGAATTTATTGACTAAAATCAAACCCAACGAATGTGGCATTGGCATCTGCTGAAATTATTTATTATTCGTCAATTACTGTATTAATTAATGTGATAGGAACGGATTTTTACCAGAATCATTGAAAATTCTCCCCAGATAATTAATGATTCGTTGAAAAACGCGAGAAAATTGAGAGATAGAAATTAATAAAATGGATAAAAATTCAACGTTGGTTCAGTTTTTTGTTAATCATTGTCATCCTTCGAGCAGTGCCTTCAGGAGCCTACAGATACGGTCTATAAGCAAAAGGATGGAACAATAAACAAATGAAAAATACGAGAAACATTTCAATTTCTAGGATTTTTCATGGAAAATGTATTAAAATCTCATTAGCCACGCCTGGATCACGAGATATCAGCCAAAAGATAATTATAATTGATGTTGTGGCGCTCAAAATATCATACCGACTATTATTTTTAATTAAATCAAGCGTGTTAATGAAGAAGTTATCAATTTTTTCAGAAGAAAGACAAACTTGTTTACCGTATCCCACATATATCTCGAAAACAACTGGATTAATTGATAAAAGTAATGGCACCTTTTTTGTAGCCCATAAAATTCTCCACAAAAAAGTCCTCAGACATTTTCCGATCGATCCACTGGTTAACGAGATTAACCGAGGGAAACAGAATTTTCGTATGTATTTTTGAGACTTCATTGCTAAATTCAATTGTTTAAACAACATATCCTGCAGAAGTTGTAAATAATATCGTGTAATAGTGGATTTGGGTCAAACTGACAGATGTCTCGAGAAAACTGTGAGAATTCTCAGTTAAATACGAGAATAAACTCGAGATGGGAATTTCGCGAATAGAATTAGTAGAAGTGTTTGCTCCCACCTCCAAATGCCTCTCACTGTGATCGCTTTTATCTTGTCGCAATCAAGCCCTGAAGATCATTATCCATCATTGCAATGATTTAATGAAATTCACGGGGATTAACGACAGCAATACTTAATTATTCGGAAGATTTAATGTAAATGGGAATGAGCATGACACATAATTCTTGGAGATTCAGATGTAAAACTGAGGATATGAGTGGAGAGTGACGGAATCATTGTAACGATCATCATGTACCTTGAAAGTATAGAACTTTGTTATGTTAACGTCTGTAATAAAATAATAAAAACAACAAAAACACGATGTCTACTCTCTAAAAAAAACAAGAATGGATTCAATTGATTGATTGAATTTCCCTCTAAAATTGGAATGTATCAATAATAAATCATTAATTCCAAAAATATTCATCCCCTAAATGATAATATCGAAGATTTTCTCCCTCATCCCCAATTTCCCATTCAAATTCCCCGCGAATTCTCATGAGAACTCATCCCTTTTCCCGCGCCCATTCAAACCGCCACCCCTTGTCCACCCCCTCACCCACCCAACCCCCAAAACAACCCCAACAGATATGGATTTTATCCACCCCAGACAGGCCAACAACTGTCAAAAACTAGGTCACAGGTCATGCACTGCCTTCTGCGCAAGCCCAAATTATCGATCACAACCCACCCCCCCAAAATTCACCCCCGAATAAATTCAAAAAACAACCCAGAACCACCCACCATCCCCCAACAATCAAATCTATCCCTCAAAAATTATTTAATCAACTAAAATATCGAAATAATCACCGAATTCTCGATTATCGTTCGTGCGCGTCCACCATAATCCACCATTTTGTTTCCTCACGGCGTTGCGCGGTGGACGAAAAACGGCAAGAAAAAGTGAAAAAAAAAATTGAGAAGAGGTGGGCGATCCTCACTGGCAGTTTGTGCGGTGAAACAGAGCCTCTCACATCGACACATCAATAAATCGACAATTAAAATTCAAAACGTTAAAATAATATCTGAATTCGGGGGTTTAACAAAGTGCGTGGGCCCTGGGCCGAGTGATTTAGCGGCTCCACTCACCTTTTAACCGTTCATTTTGTTTTTGTTTTGTTGTTTTTTTTTTTGTTCATTTCCCATCGAGTGGAGAGTGCCTCCAACGATTTGACGAAAAATGGCTGGCAATACGGGAATGGAGCAATTGATTCCAATTGTTAATAAACTTCAGGATGCATTTACTCAGCTCGGGGTGTCAATGCAACTGGATTTACCCCAAATTGCTGTTGTCGGAGGACAAAGTGCGGGGAAAAGTTCGGTATTGGAGAATTTCGTTGGAAAGTGAGTCACTTTTATGCTTCAGATGATTTTCCGCCTTTTATGCGTCGTTTCCCTAATTTTTTTCGTATTGTCGAGCTTTTTTTTTTGAGGGTTTCAGGGTTTTCGGGCCCTTTTCGGTATTTTTTTCATTTTTTGAGGTGTGGCGGGGCCCCTGGGGGATGGGGGGCTTTGGGGGTCGAATTTTGTTCATCTGGTTCAGGAGTTCTATTCATTTTGGTAGATTTAGGAGTTTTTATTTGGATATGGCCCCTTTTTTTCTTTAGGTTTTTAAATAAATTTGTGGGTTGGGGGGTTTTTCTTATCTTTTTGCTACAGAATACAATGATACGACTGTCAGGATTTTGATGACGTCAGGGCGCCCACTCGTGGCCTGTCAAATGATCTTGATTTTATGTCGATGACAGGGAATTGATAAGAGTTTATGATTGAGAATTTTTGTTGGAGATTATCAGGATTTCTTGTGGCTGGTGGGGGTGGAGGGTTGAGGGGATTGATTTTCAGGGATGAGGATCAATAATTTATGGGGGTGAGCAATTAAATGAGGGAGGGAGAACGAATGGGTGGGGATTTTTGGAGTTTTCAATTTTTTCGAGGTTAATTCGGGATTTATCTCGGTTTCCATTGGATTTAGGAGAAAATGTCAGTAGAATTTTTTTTAGAGAATGAGATTCCCCAAGTATAATTTTTTATGACATTTTTCGCTCAGATCATTAGGTGCCTGGATATTTGGGAATTTATTTCGTCAGGAACTTGAAATTTGCCTCGAAGTGACTTTTTAGGTAATTTGGTTAATTCTGGGGAGACGTCTCATTGATCAATTGTTTCGTTCGTGACACCAGGAGTGACCCCTCGTGCCCCATCTCCCACGTACCATTCAATTAAACTTCTTGACCCCACGTCAACTTCGGTTATTTACTTGATTATGGGAATTTGCAGGTTTGCATTCTTTATTTTTTGGCATCTTTCAGGGATTTCCTGCCGAGAGGATCAGGCATCGTCACCAGGAGGCCACTCATTCTTCAACTCATCAATAGTATGACTGGTGAGCGCATTTAAAATGAAGATCAAAATGAAATTAATTGAATTTATTTTTCAATTCTCAAATAAAAATGTCACACCTCTCTATCCACACGAATATCTCGATAACCAGTGACTCTGCGACAAAACTTCACTAGACCTATTTTGTGGAGGACTAAATTTTCTTCGGAAAAGTCTTCTCCTATTTTCCTCTGGACCAACTCCTTTTCCCGATAAATCCAGAATAACAAAATACTTCATTCACTCCAGGAGAAATAAATTATATCACTGTTCCTCTGGCATTCGCTCACATCCTGTCACACAATAGCTTCTGATAAGCTCCCTGATAACAGTGATAACACCTCGAAAGACTTCTCGAGCATTGACCCCCAAAACCAGAATGAAAATTCAAATGTTTCCTTGAAATTTCCCAGAGAATTAAAGATTTCTTCACAAAAATTGCTGTCTGGTGATGAAAAAAACAATTTTCACTGAATAAAAAAATAGTTTTCCTCCCATTCAATCGTGGAATTCAATTCTTCAACAGAGCATGCTGAGTTTCTTCACTGCAAAGGGAAAAAATTTGTGGACTTTGACGAAGTTCGCCGAGAGATTGAGGCAGAAACCGACAGAATAACAGGAAGCAACAAAGGAATATCAAACATCCCCATAAACCTGAGAGTATACTCACCAAATGTTCTGAACCTGACCCTGATTGACTTGCCTGGTCTCACCAAGGTGCCAATTGGTGACCAGCCAGTGGACATCGAAGCGCAGATCAAGGGAATGATATTTCAATTCATCAAAAAGGATAATTGTCTCATTCTAGCTGTCACACCTGCTAATACTGATTTAGCTAATAGCGATGCACTCAAACTTGCCAAGGAGGTGGATCCTGAGGGTAAGGACAAGTCCTCTTCACCTTTCCTTCGTTTTTTTATTATAGTTAATTAATTAATCAATTATTTTGGACTTCAAATGATTTTTTTATCCCTGGGGGTTGATTCAGGTGTCAGAACCATCGGAGTTATCACTAAACTGGATCTCATGGACGAGGGAACCGATGCGAGGGATATTTTGGAGAATAAATTGTTGCCACTGCGTCGTGGGTACATTGGAGTCGTTAATAGAAGTCAGAAGGACATTGAGGGACGAAAGGATATCAAGAATGCCCTGGCAGCTGAGAGGAAGTTCTTCCTCAGGTGCATAATAATTTTATTACCATACCATCCCGTTAAAATGACGATTATCTCGTAAACGAAGGATTTCCGAAAAAAACTCGAAAGACATTTTTTGTAGCTCTGGAAATTTGCAGGAAAAAAGTTGCTCTGTGTTTTTCTGTGGAACCAATGGTTCTCTGGAATATTGGACGAATAGACAAATGGAGAATTCGGATTTTAGTGTTTTGAGGCATAATTAATTAATTAAGTCCCTTAGGATGTTGTTAATATTTTTTTTTTATTGTTTTCAGCCATCCATCATATCGACACTTGGCTGACAGGCTCGGCACACCGTATTTACAGCGTGTCCTCAATCAGCAGCTGACGAATCACATAAGGGACACCTTACCAGCCCTGAGGGATCGCCTCCAGAAGCAACAGCTGACCCTCGAGAAGGATGTCGAACAGTACAAACACTTCAGGCCAGATGATCCTGCCATCAAGACGAAAGCTATGTTACAGTAAGTGAATAAACAGTTCAATAAATATTGAAAAAATACTCCAACTCCCAATACGTCCGTAAATATCAAATTTAAACAAAAATTCAATTGTACTTTTCTTTAGAGAATTTAATTACCTTCGAAAAATCTCTCTGGCGTTTTTATCTAAACTCATTATTTTGGGAGATATTAATGAAATAATCTTCACGCATTTTATTTAATTGGTTGTTCTTGACCCAAATCGTGAAATTTTCCCAATTAATATCTCTCTTTTTCTTTCTTTATTGATTTTCCTCACCTCATTCGCATGACCAGAGTAGCTCCAACGACCTGCCGAATATCGATTATATCATGATGACAATCAACCACTTAAATATTGAGCGAAATTCTAATTTTGTTTTTACTCTTTGAGCATACGACATTTTTTTAATTAGAATGTTCTAATGACATTATCCAGTGAATTTAATGAGTAGAATGTTCTTAACAACAATAAAATCATCAGTGAATTGAAAGGAGACGAGTACAAAATTAATTATTCATCAATATCTGACGAACAAAGGGGTTGAGACTAAAACGTCATAGAGATTTTTTGTAGAGAATTCCATTCTCCAGAAATAAAGTCATGTGACTTTTTTTTCTACATCCAGTATTTAACGAGATATGGATGGAATGAGTTAAAGAAATGGTGACGTGTTTTGTATGGTGGACTCTTAGGATGCATTCTGATAAAATTTTATTATTATTGTCTTCAGGATGATTCAACAGCTTCAGTCCGACTTCGAGAGGACTATCGAAGGCTCTGGTTCAGCCCAGATCAATACCAACGAGCTGAGTGGTGGTGCTAAGATAAATCGATTGTTCCACGAGAGATTTCCTTTTGAAATTGTCAAAATGGAGTTTGACGAGAAGGAATTGCGAAAAGAAATTGCATTTGCCATCAGAAACATTCATGGTACTTAGAAAATATTCTCCACCTACTCTCAATATTTTTTCACCAATTTTCAATGGATTTTTAATATTTTTATTCCAGGTATTAGAGTGGGACTTTTCACTCCTGACATGGCATTCGAGGCAATTGTCAAAAAACAAATAAACAGACTAAAGGAACCCAGTCTCAAGTGCACAGATCTCGTAGTCCAGGAACTCAGCAATGTCGTGCGCATTTGCACCGATCGAGTCAGTAATTTTCCAAATTTTCATTAATTAATTGTCAATAAATTGAATGGGAATAAATATCCTTGAATTTTTTTTTATCATTCCAGATGTCACGTTACCCTCGATTAAGGGAAGAAACCGAGCGGATAATAACCACCTACATACGCCAACGTGAGCAATTATGTAAAGAGCAATTGATTCTCCTAGTGGATTGCGAGCTTGCCTACATGAACACCAATCATGAGGACTTCATTGGTTTTGCCAAGTAAGCAAATATCCATAATTTACGATTAAAATTCACTTGAATATTTTTTTGTTTGTTCATTAAAAAAGGATTAAATAAATAAAAACACGAGGTAGTTAGGCAAAACTATGCTATTGTGCAGAGTATTAAAACCACCTTGAATTATTTCTGTACTGGCTATTTAAATTCTTCCGGTTATTTATCACCTTCGGAGCCTGTTAAATGTCAATCACTTTATTATAGATGCACTCTGTACCTTTATTTTGAATGGCATTTAGTAATTTGCACAATTAAAACAATTTTATTACCAATTAGAGTTGGATTAAGCATCATATTCTCCCCTCGACTGAGAAAAAATTATTGCACTTTTCAATCGCCGAAATGCTCACCTACATACACTCTACGAAAATAAGTCATAAGACTTTTTTTATCGAGAATTACTTTCTCTGGAAAAAACATCACTTGGCATTTCCTCCCAAAATCACGCATGACCGAGATAATTGCAAAAATGTAAGAGCTTCTTAATCTCTTGCACCAGAGATCGATGGATTTTTTGTCAATTAAAATCGATGAAGGGAAATAATTTTTTCTCCGCTCGAAAGACCGCAAAATGTCGCACTCTTAATTATTCTACAGCACACGCTTGAGTAATTGCTTCACTGAACCCACAGCTAATAGTTAATTTGCACAGAGAGAAGAGGTTAAAAAAAAACAATACGAATGAGAGAGTAAAAATACGAAAAAAAAATGTATTTGGCATCCTCAGTAGTTGAAGACTTTCCAATAAGACTTGACGACTGAATAGAACTCTATCAATTGATGAGACTATCATTAATTACATCTTTGTATCATTCAAGGAGCTCCTCATAATTAGATTAATCATTAACCCGCAATTTAATAATTTATCGTACACTGTTTATTTGTCTAATTCATTGAATTATTGGTTCATCACTTTCCAACGCTTTCTGCCTCTCACCCGAATTCAATTTTCTTTTTTATTAAAATTTGAGGAAGATCTTACTTAAATCTTCTTGACTTTTCATTTTTTTTTTCAAAACAAACTGTTATATTTCACCAAATATAAACATTTATTTATGTAATTATATCGGCAGCGCGGCGGCCAGTATCTATAATTCAAGGTAAGAACATCAATGAACATCACCACGAGTTCGTTTATTTAATAAATGAATTAATTATTTCGTTTTTTGAGATATTTTGTGATGGAATTTAGGAGAAGTTGAGTGTTTATTTAGATTTTTTAGGCTTTTTTGAGATTGAGGGGGGGGATTGGGGGGGTTACCGTGAGAGTGGTATTCGGGGGAGGTATTCCTACGGCGGGAGATCATCTGATGATCGATTTTGCCCCGGGAGGGAGGAAAATATCACGCCAGAAGAAATGGTGGACCATTCCAAATTTTTTTTTCAGAACCAAACTATTCTGGCCTTTATCTGGGGAACGAGTGGATTTAGAGAAAAAAGTTATAAACATATTTTGTTGAGAATTTCATAATCTGCAAAAAAGGTAGTACAACATTTTCTAAGAAATTCACTAGTTTTCGGGATAATTGAGCATTTACATTACCACTTCATCTTTTCTTCAATTATGACACGAGTCAAGTGTAACAGTGCTAGTTACTTACGTCATTATCTCATTAACGAGTGACGTCACGACAAAACATTATCAGACTTTCATGTAGAGCATGAAATTTCCAACAAAAAAGGCTTACACCATTTTCTCCGGAATTCACAATCTCCAGAGATATTCCCAAATGAAAATCTGTAGCGAGGCAGTGAAAGAAGGTACTAATTAAGAAATTAATTACGGGGTAAAATGGATCGTAATTACATACCCTCAGAGCCACTCTCAAGTCCGATCCCCCCAACTTTTGATGGAATCCTTGAAGAAAAATCTAAACCACTTGTCTTTTCGATTGAATTGATTGCAAAATTAATATTCCTACATTATTCCTTTTAATTTCTACATTAATTTATCTTTCTCTTGCATCATAAAATACTTAATTTTCTACTTATTCTTTTGTATGCTATTATATGCTACTTTCATCCAATAAAATCGCATCATTATCATCAAGCCTCACGTACATCGAATATAAATCATTAAAATCATTACAAATGAATTCAATAAAAAAAAAAAAGAATTAAACTTAACAAAATTATTTTTCTTTCATAACTAAAAAGGAGAAAAGATGCTGATTATTGCGTATTGCGTAGAACTGACTTAGCCACTGTTGCCTAGGGCATTTGTTTGCTTCTTCTGCATTTAATTGTTGGTGAAGATTTTTTAATAAACATTTTTTTATCATCGACGATAGGTTGTATGCATTGTGAAGGCTCTATTTTATTTATTAGGGTATTTAGACTGTATTTTAGTGATTGAAGTGATGAAATTGTTTGTGTTTCAGTGCTCAGCAGTCATCGGAGAATGCTGTCAAGGCTGGAAGACATACCCTGGGTAATCAGGTGATCAGGAAGGGATACATGTGCATTCACAATCTTGGAATCATGAAGGGAGGCTCCAGGGATTACTGGTTTGTCCTGACATCAGAGAGCATCTCCTGGTTCAAGGATGAAGAGGTAAATTATTTCCTAAATCCACTCAATCCTAAAATTCTTTTTTTCTTCTTCAAACCCCTCATTAGCAGAAAAAAAAATTACTACTGTGGCCAATTCATCAGGAGGAATTGAACTATTTAATAATCGATTGCATTTTTATTGATTGCAGGAACGAGAGAAGAAATATATGCTACCACTGGATGGACTTAAGCTTCGGGACCTGGAGCAGGGCTTCATGTCTCGTCGCCATCTCTTTGCCCTTTTCAATCCTGAAGGGAGAAATGTTTACAAAGATTATAAACAACTCGAGCTGAGCTGCGAGACTCAGGACGACGTCGACTCCTGGAAGGCGTCATTCCTCAGGGCTGGTGTTTACCCAGAGAAATCTACAGAGCAAGCCAACGGAGAAGGCGAGGTAAACAAAAATTTATCACTAAATTATTGAAGCCATTTTTACAATCCCAGGAATTTCCATCAAGCATTCGTATTCGTTGAATTGATATTTTGCCCTTTGGTTTCATGGATTTCATTTTTCTCTGTCTATCACCGGTGATTAAATTATTTATAGATTTTTTCTCAGTATTTTCGATTCAATATTTCGTTTTTATTTCCCCACATTTTAGGATGAAAAACTCGGGGTGAGTTGTCAGGCGTGTGAATTCTTCCTAACAGCGTGAATTTTAGTTGAACTAACAATTTTATTTATAAATGAATGATGAATTCACTGGTTAAGTGAATTATTTTATTTGTTTAGAATGAGATTAATAATTTTCCCAGATATTCACCAAATTTTCCTCTGTTTTTTCTTTGATAAATGAACCTGAAGGAAGGATACGAGGTTTGTAGCTTGAGAAAAGTAGAAAAAACACTCACAAGAATTAATTTAGCAAGAAGAAACACGCACGCCCATGACACAAGGATTTTATACATTTTTTTAATCCAGAATTGTTAACACGAACAAATTGTTTTTGCATTTTTAATTAAATAGAGTGGAATTTATTGTTGGGATTTGAGTAAGAATTTTTTTGTGGTAATCCTAGGGGGGATCTGAGGGTCAATCCTCCATGGATCCACAGCTGGAGCGACAGGTGGAGACCATCAGGAATTTGGTTGACTCGTACATGAAAATTGTTACGAAAACAACCAGAGATCTTGTTCCAAAGACTATTATGCATCTTATCATCAATAACGCCAAGGAGTTTATCAATGGAGAGCTGTTGGCACATCTCTATGCCAGTGGGGACCAAGTAAGACCAATTTCCTCCATTATTCAATAATTTTTTCACATTTTTTACAACATTTACAATAATTTTCCATTGAATCCAAAAACTCTGATTTTATCATTCCAGTAAATGGGGATTATCTCGACAATGTCAAGTTTTAGAGCAAAATTTCATAAGTTCTTTTTTGTCGGTAATTAAATTCTCAACAAAAATGTATTACAACTTTTTTCTCTAGACTCATTTTTTACCGAGATATAATCCCGATTTAAGAGTGGGAAAAATTGAATCAACAAAAAAATTATTTAATACTGATTGTAGTGATTAGTTGCGTGTGGATCGGTGAAGAAATTTATTCCTTGGGTTTAAGCTATTGTTAATGATTTTTTTCAGTCCTCGATGATGGAAGAGTCACCAGAGGAAGCCCAGAAACGCGAAGAGATGCTGCGAATGTATCATGCATGCAAAGAGGCTCTCCGAATTATTGGAGATGTCTCGATGGCTACAGTGAGCACTCCAGTGCCACCACCAGTCAAAAATGACTGGCTCGCGTCGGGTGAAAACCCCAGGTGTGTATAAACCCATTTTAATTGATGGAAAATGAATTATTTTGTCATTAAATTCTCTTCTCCCTCGAAAATTTCTGTCACTCCATGTAATTCATGCATTGATTATCCCCAGAGAATTTTCAATGGGAAATTATCACTCATTTAGAAATTCAATGACAAAATATAATAAATAATCAATATTTTCTTATCCAACAATTTATTTACTCTTCCGTGCTGTTTTATTACGTGTCATTGCTGAATACTATCGAACATCAATTGCCACAGTTATGGGTAAGATGTTTCATCGATTTTTTTTTGTTAAAAAAAACCTCCCATAGTCTGTAATACCAAGCAATAATGAATTAATCAAAAATTGCCACTAATTCTATTCGAGTCGTCAGTAAACCATGATTATCTCGTAAACGAGTAGTGATACTGAAAAATGTCTCCCTACCTTTTTTGTAGCCTACGAGATTCCCCAGAGAAAAGTTATATGACATTTTCTCCCAAATCCCCGCATTTCCAAGGTAAAGCCTTAATTGAGTGAATAATTAATTGAAAATCCTTTAGAATTAGGAAAAAATTTTTGATTAACACCAATGAACCTCGTCTGCTCCCCTGCAGCTTCTTAGTTAAACCCACGAGAACTACCGGAAAGCTTAAAAGCACCAGAAGAAGCTTTAATGGATTGAGAACTAATTGAAATTGAATTGAAATGATTTTTGGGGATTGATCGATGGATTCTGGTGTTTTAGACTGTCTCCACCGTCACCTGGTGGACCAAGGAGAGGAGTGCAACAGCCACCGGTGCCCACAGGTGGTCGTGCACCACCTCCAGTACCAGCTGGTGGCAGACCAGCTCCAGCTATTCCAAACCGACCTGGACCTGGTGCTCCACCATCAGCACGTGGAACCCCTGGCCTTCCACCTCCCCTCATTCCATCGTAAGTACTAATTAAATTCTCACTTCAATTTTTCCTGTGGTACTTTAACCGTGAAAGTGAAGAAAACATTTTTCTTGTGGAATAACTCCCAAAATCTCTTCATTTTCACAAGATTTTCTCTCTTTTCTGAGGAAAATACGAGGGAATTCTTCCCAGTTTTTTTGTGATCTGTTATCATTCCAGCACTGTGCTTTGGGGTTTCCCTCCGTTTCTCGTGATAACTAGATTTTTCATTCAGTGTGACAGAGGGAAAAAAAGAGATTTAAAATATTTTGGCACTTATTCAATTATTAGACTATTATTATCTCTGTAATGAATAATCCTAGAGAAAAATATCTGAGGAATTTTTTGTAGGGAATTCTATTCTCAAAAAAAAATTCCTCTGGCATTTTTCCCGGAATTCATTATTTTCGGTGATATTCCCATGATTGTGAGACTCTTTTTTCCTTTGAGCCCTGGAGATGTGTTAATTGCGTGATAATTGGCTTGTGGGTGGCTAACTTCACTTTCTATTGCAGGCGCCGACAATAAGTCTCCGCACTAACACGTCCTTTCTCTACTAATCAGTATACATTAACCTGTTGCATTAATCTAGTCAACGTTTTAGTCTGTAACTAGCGAAAAAAAGATTATTTGAAGAGTTTACGAATAAACAATTGTAATTGTTCGCTTTTCCCTCCTTCGATAAATTCTAGATATTCATAATCAGAATTCCCAAATCATTTGTCCGTTTTTCTATTCATTTCAATTGTCTTCTAGATTTTTTTATCCAATCGTTCTTTTATTGTTGTTAAAATTACCAGAATAACTGATTTTCCATATTTTTCATTAAACCAGAGGGTTAGAGGGTCCTACCGAACAATCGCATTAATTAATCTCATGAAATTAATTAATAATCTGTCGATTCTGCTTTATTTCGCTTTTTGTTTATCCTCTCTACTGAATTAATGCAGAGATATTTCAATTAATCAAAGTTAATTAGTGAAAAACCATTGAAAAATCTCAGAAATTTCATTTATTTTTCTATTAACAAATCTATGCTTTCGATACTGCTGTCTCCCTGAGCCTATTGTACTGTTAAACAATTATTGGGTGATCGATGAAATTGTAATGAATGAGATTGTAATTTACTAACAGCATGACACGTTCTTACGCTTCGAAATAATTAAATCCTGATACCAAACGTTAAGATAATGATGAAAATAAATTATTATCGAGTCACGATGGAATGTCGGTGCCTGCAGTAGCTCATGAGCACCAAAAATAAATTTTAACTATTTAAAAAAAAGGAAAAAAAAAATTCCGGGGATTCATTATCGATCTAAAATCAATTATTCAAGAATCTACTGATGACACTGCGTTCACCAGGCAGCCAGGGATCAATCAATTAATTAATCGAAGTAATTAATAATTCAACCTAAAGCCAACAATGAATAAACAAATTCTTGAAAATCACACGTCAATTTAAAAATCCCAGAGAATTCCACAAGAATTTAATCTAAAATCAGAGAACATCTGGGAATTAAGTAAAGTGATTGCAAGTGAATAAAATAAAATAATACAAACTAATATATGAGTAATATTATAAATAAACAAAACAAGTTGATGATCAGTCGTGAAAGGAGTGATGAGATCTAGAATTAAAACGATTTGAAGATGACAAATCGGTAATTCCTGGCTGTCAGTGGGCGTCATGTTGACTCTGTTTTTAATTGAATAGATTTTTGAGAGTATAAATTTGAGCAAGACCTCAAAATTTGTTACGTGGTTGTGTTTAGTCGAGGGGGTATACAACAGAGAGTGACCCAAGCAGCAACACAAGCAGCTGCTAATGCCGCAGTCAACGAGCTCATGGATGCATTCAGGATCAAGTAAATAAATAAACGATATTAATTATTAATAACTGAAAAGAAGCTGATTATTCTAATGACATGATTTAAGTCGTTGATTAATTAATCGATCTTGCTGTAGCTTTCGTGTGCCGAGAGATCGATATCTCGTTGTAACTCTAGATTATAATCTGTAGATGGTAGACTGTTCAAGGGATTTTACATTTTTTTGGGAATCGTTTTGCAGGTTTTTTCTACTTTTTTATTCTCTCAGATCTAATCTCTATTATTTTTTTTTTTCCTGCATGAACTCTCGGTCTATTTGTAGTTTTTTTTTTAAGGAATGTCCAATTTTCAGAGGGTTACCCGCGTTTTCTGGGAATATCTCGGGAATGAGGGGATTTTCCGGAAAATATCATCAGACGTTTTTGGTGGGGAATTTAATTCTCTGCAATTAATGTCTCAGGCATTTTTTTTGTGAACTTGATTTTTCGCGGGATATTCGGCTGTTTTGAATTCAGGTTTTAATGCATTTGTCAGCTGCTGGTAATTAGTTCGTTTATTATTTATTTTCCGATCAATTAAGGATTATGAGAAACCTTGAAAAGTCTACCAGAGTAATTAGAAGAGAATTCTGTCTGCACTGACGAATCTAGAGAAATAATCCACTGCATGACAGAAAATCTAGGGGAGATTATTGAGTTTTAAATATTGGGATTAATTAAAATTTGTTCTTCATTTTCGCTCAATAATTAGTTCTACAAATAAATTTCCAATCCCAGATAATAATACTATTAAACAACCAGTTAAGTCTTCAAGTGAAAATATTTTTCGTTGTAGATTACAAATAATCCATTGAATAAAAAAATTCTAATAATCTCTCCTTTAAACAAATAGCAGAATAACTCCACGTGCGAGCAATAAACTAATGTTTCAACTCGGAAAAAATCATTGAAGTGTCATGCTGTTAGTGAAAAAGAAAAACTACTCAAATCATTGTAAAATTACTGATAATCGGAATGATGCGAGTAGAATCCACTGAAAATTCAAATCTCGTTTATTTATTTGAATTCACCAAATACGTGAAATTTACTTCCCATAATTAATAAACAATTATCCAGGCCTAATGATCCCCTACCCACCCCAGAATGTAAATAATTATTCCGATTATTCGTATGAGAGAAAAGAAAACCCCGAGAAATCCCCGAGGAAAAAGGAAAATAACAAGTAAATTAATAAAAACCACAAGTGGATTATTGTAATGTTATGTACAGTAAACAATTAAAAATGGTGAAGTCATAGAATGCATTAATTGAGTCGTGGGACTCGATAAAAGTCAAAAGTAGAAGATGAAAATCAACAAAAAAAAACGAGAAAACGAGAGATTAAAGGATCTGTGTTAAAAATATATCAATTGTTGTTGCAAATTGCATTAATTAACGAGACGAGAATCTAGGGCTTGTAGGATAACCCCCAAGTTCGGTAGGCCATGACAATTGTTTATTTAAAACCCAAACTTCAAGATAAAAACAAATAAACTAGAAGAGATTATCGAGATCGAATCGAAGATTTTGTTTCAGCAGCGAAGACTCAAATTTTGACTCTAGTTTTCGAGGGATATCTCCGAATCTAAGAGAGATAGAAAAATCTTTAGTGAATGTTTTTTGTAGATCGCAATCTGATCTGCATTAAATATTCTACAAAAATTTTTGCTATATCGCTCAGATTTCGAGATATTCACCGATATCTCAGGTGAAATGGATTCCATCGAATCTTCTTCTTCGCTGCTGATTGAATAATTTAATTAATTCGATTGTTTATTCAGCGTAAAAATTGTAGAAGAGTAAAGAGAAGAATTTGTCATGTTCGAGCATCTGATGGCAATCATCAGGATGATTGATGAAAACACGCGCATATCAATTAGTGAAGTTTTTGTGTAGAAGAGTCTCTTTGAAAAATGAATAGAACATTTGAATAAAGAATTTAAACGATTCATTAATATCTGAATAGATGTGAACAACGAAGGGCTGAGAGGACGAGTCTCGAATCACTGATTGATTTTTTCAATTAACAATTTAATAATTATCCCCTGATCACCATAAAATACCAAACGATCCAACAAAAATTATTTCACCTCTCACATTTCGTTTCCCCAGACACTTCGTTAATTACCTCATAAACAAACGACTTTACGATGAAAATGCATACCACCTTTTTTCTTGAAAATTAAACATTCTACAAAAAGTTTCCTCAACACTTCCTTCTAAACCCATTAATTTCCGAGATATTGAGCGTGAAAATCGAGAAAAATCTCGAGGTGGATTTTATGGTGATTAGGAGTTGCTTAATTGAATATTGATTGCATTGTTGATGACAATTTGCTAATGATATTGACTAAAGCTGATTGGACGCTTCTTTGTTGACATTGACGAGTCAATTAACCAATTTTACGACCACTTTGGGGTAATCCCTATATTTTCCAATTGTCTGAGCATTTTCACTTATTGAGATTGAAATATTGAGATATTGTAGGGCTTTTTATCGTCGAGCACTCGATGCTGATTCCCAACGTGTTATGCCCGCTTTTGTGAACATTGTGAGGATTAAAATAAGACGACTTAACAGGTTGCATTGGATTAATTATCACGTTGATGCATTGTTAACGATCATTTCTGGGATTTTCGTCGGACGAGGGAGATGGGAGGAATAAAATATTAATTATTGAAGATTTATTGTAGTCGTCGAGTGTAAAGTGTAGTGTAATGGTTATTTGAGATAACTGATTATCATTATTAGGATTGCACGAAGAGTTGATTATTGGGGTGGGAATTTGGATTTTCTGGGATTAATTGGAAATTTTCTACATAATTCCATTTTATCGTTTCCACAAATGAAAATTCACTCTTCTTTATCTCTATATTTTCAATTTAGAAGGAGAGACTAATTTGATATGAATTTTTAATTTTTCGGCTTCAGCAGAATTGTTATTGTTTAATTATTAATTTTTCTTCGATTTCCAATCGATCGCCAGAAATTTTGTATTTGTAAAATCGAGTTTTGTTCGTTGATATCAATAAGATAATTAAATTAAAAGGAAAGCCAATCGCTGAATTCGTCGAGTAGAGAAGTCGAGGGAATTAGTAAATATCAGATGAGGTAAATTGATAAATTGAGAGATCATTCAAGACGAACTTTACTCGGTGGACACGTTATACATGCTTCCATCTGCAGCCTTACATTTTATGTATAAATAAGACAATTATAAACGCTTACTTCGTGCATCACGTGAATAAGTGTAATTTTGATTGTAAAGTTCAGTATTTAAACGAGTACGAGAGAGAATACGATGAAATCACCTTTCAATAATCATTGATACCGAGGATAATTATTTTGTGAGGTGAATTTCTGTGCTGAGTAACTCAAACTCTACCCCAACTATTTTTATTCCACCCCCATTACCAACAATCAATTAATTAATTACCAATAACAACCAAAAACTTTTTCCCCTCCATTTTTGGGTTTGCACCCATCTTTTATATTAATTATCTCGCTAACAACCGGATTTAGCGTAAAATGTGAAAAGACCAAATTCGCAGGAAATCGAATTTCGAGGAAAAAATGTTCCATGACCTCTCCCACTAAATCTCGTCATTATCGAGATAATTAATAATGAAAGAGAAGGTGAAAAATGAGAAGTGTTTTTCTTTTCAAATAAAAATTAATGATTAATTAATTTTCTAAATTATTGTTACTCGACACAGAACAAGCATGCCTTTGCTGCGTAAGGGTACACACTGTTTAAAGCAATATAAATGTGTATATAGCAAGTAATATGTTATAGATTATTCGATAAGAGAAGAACAAACGATGAAAAATTATCTAAAGAATTAAAAAAAAAAATGGAAAAATACACTGGTGAACGTACAGTCACGCATTTCTGGTCTCCAGTGGTGAACAGACGTGAGAGATGTGAGCTCAGACGTTCGATTATTTATTAATTAACTCCATGTGTTCGTGTCCCATTCCAATCATTAATTAATTAATCATTTCCCTCATTTCTCTCATTTTCTCACCTTTTGCTTTGCTTTCTGCATGATTTCGTCGATTTTCTCAGTTGTTTTTGTGTGCACTACATCATTGCATCGAATTTTTCAATCAATCACGTGAATTTGTGAAGAAGA